GAGGGAGGAAGGAAGGAAGGAAGGAAGGAAGGAAGGAAGGAAGGAAGGAAGGAAGGAAGGAAGGAAGGAAGGGGAAGTTCAGGTAACCCTCATCGTCAATCATCTCGCAAGTTTTCAGTCTCCAGCCACACCCTTCAATTCACCCTTCACAGAGCTGTCAGAATTATCTTTCTAGTAAGCAAATCTGAAAACATTATTTTCCCCATTTAAAACCTATTCCTGGTTCTTTATTGTCTAAACTCTGAAATCCTTTGCATTAAAATCTCTTGGACCTGATCCTCCCCTGCATTCTCCAAACTAACCTTTTACTCGGTTTGCCCATGCCAAACCATTTGCCCCTTTCCCATGCATGCTGTATACAACTCCCCTTACCCCACAGCCCATCTCACTGATGCCTGCTCATCGTGAAAGACTGAGGTCAGTGCCATCTATTTTAATGAGCCTACTCTGAATATCTGGGTAGATCTGACCTTTCCCTTGTTTACATTTCCATGTGCTTCTATCATAGCATCTTTAACACTTAAAACTTCATTGTACTTGTGTTTATGATTTCAAGGTCCTTGAGGACTGGCATCTATTTTTATTCATATTTAGAACTCCAATGTTAGGCACTTAAGGAAGCATTCAATAAAATGTGTTGAATAAATGATCTAAATGAAGATCTAGATTCTTAGTTCTATTTTGAACTTCTTGTCCTTTTCTGGTATGTCTCCCAAAAGGCCCCTCATTGGCACATTTTTGTCAAGCAGTGCATTTCAGCCTTTCTTTCTAATCTGCTCTTTTCCTTTCAATCTTTTTTAGAAATTCTTGGCTTATCTAGTAGGAGGTTCCAAGTACAAATTGCCATTTATAAAAACAGTCACAGGGGTGTAAAGTATGGCACAGGGAATATAATATAGTCAGTAACACTGTAATAACTATGAATGGTGTCACATGGGTACTAGAGTTATCAGGGAGTCACTTTGTAAGGTATATAAATGTCTAATCATTATGTTGTACAACTCTAATGTAATATTGTATGTCAACTGTAATTGAAAAATAAAATTTAAAATACATATGGCAAAAACCCAACAAAACAAACAAAAAATAGCAGGAAACTCCAGTAACTTCTCTTGTTTGATCTGCTCTCCTGTTTCTTTCTTACCCAGAAGAGAGAGGTCCCATTTAATTTCTGGTTACAACCATCTGTCCTCATTATTTATACCTTTGAACACTAATTGTAATCCTTTAAACACTAAGAGGGAATACAGTTCCCACATGCATTCACAAACATAGACATCTGCCAAGCACTAGTCTGTATCCTAGTATACAGCTGTAGTTTTGCCTTGTTTTAGTTTGGAGTTTTTGGAAGTTTCAGAACATGTTCTGACCAGGAATGGGAAGGAGGCAAGGATGGTATGCTGATGGAAATCGCCAAGGTCAGTATCCCAGGGATGTCAAACATGGGATTCTGGCTCAGAACTGCAATTTAGGGGAAGCACTGTTACTCAGGACGTATTTTTAGATGGTTTGAATAGTTAGCATACAGTCTTAGATCCAGTCTCCAGACCCAAAAATTTTAAAAACATAATCAATAAAACATCACAGTTTCCTGTAAGGGGCTCCGACCCTCACTCCCATCCCCTTCGAAGGGCACAGGATTCCGGAAAGAGGTGGGAAAGGGGGACAGCCCACCTCGAGTATCTGCCCTCAAATGGGGCGCACGGAGCTGGGGCAGAACAGGGGGAGATCCAAGGCCAGTGTCTGCTTAGCTCTGAGTGACGCAGGTGCCATCCCGGGCCACTTTTCCAGGGATAGTTGCTTCGGGTGACTACTTATTTGCTGTATGACCTGGAGCAAATTACTTTACCTCCCTGTGCCTCAGTTTCATTATTGGTAAAATTAAGATAAACGACAGAATCTACCTCTCAGGAATATTCTGAGGACTGAGGAGTTAATCCAGTACTTTGAACAGTGCATGAATATATAAGTGAAATGTAATGCTTAGCTATTTTTACCCGGTCACTGTATGAGGCTCTCTCTACAAAATACCGAATCAAAATTTTTATTAGGCAGTCCTATTTATGCTCAACGTTATATAACACATTTTACAAATTTCCACGTTCCATGCCCCGCCTCCTAATGAAAAACGGAATTAACAATATCCGATCGTCTTCCTCAGTCTCCCTCGGCTGTACAAGCCTGCCACTTTGTCTTCCATTCCATCCCAGTTTAGAATGAACCCGGAAAATAACGGAGAGGGAGCGCTTCGTTTGCTTGTTTATTTATAGTCCACGCGGTCTAATTCCGATGAGTAGTTCCAGCGGCTGTCTGGCCGAGTCAAGAACGACGGAAGGGAAAGGCGGTGGGGGGACGGAGCAGAGCCCGGCCGGACGAACCCCACCCGGCCTCTGCCCCGCCCAGCAGCGGGCGCCCGGAGGAGCGGCCGGAAGTGCGGCCCTCCGGGGGCGGGCAGAGGTGACTTAAGGCGGAGCCCGGGGCGCTGGCCAATCGGAAGCGACGGTCCCAGCGGACGGGGCGGAAGAGAAGAGGTCTAATTCCGGACGCGGCGGCGGACGCCGCCGCCATCTGTCACCTCAGCTCCGGCACCAGCACCAGTACCAGCACCAGCACCCCGTCGCCCCTGCTCCGCCTCCTGTCTCCCCGGCAGAGGCTGCTTCCCGGTCCTGTCATCTCTCTGCTCTGTCCTCGGTGCTGTCTTCTTCCCCTACATGGATCTGGTCGGAGTATCATCGCCCGAACCCGGGCCGGCAGCGGCCTGGGGCCCCAACAAGGTGAGTTTCGGTCGGGGCAAATACACCTACCTTGGTCACCTGCGCTGGTCGTGTCGGAGAGCCCGGAGAGGGTGGCAGGCGCCGAGGCGGCTCCGCAGGCGACCTGGGAAGTTCTGGGCGAGATCCCGGCGACCTCGGAAAGCGGAGCGGGGCGGGACGGCCGG